TAGTACAAGATAGGCAGGATACAGAAAGTTCCTGTATTGACACTGTCTCAAAAATAATATATGATGCGAGGTGAACCTGCCTGTGAACGCCAGGGCTGATTCAGCTGACCTGGCTGGCCCCTGGGGGTTGTTCACAAACCTGCGCTGTCTAGAAGATGATCCTCCTCAGACTGGGCTGAGCAGCAAGCAGCACTACCTGCTAGAACGCTCAAGTCTCAAAATTTTTAAGTCATTGCAAACAACCAAGATGCAGACTGATAAGAATCAATTAACTATCTCAATTATATTTACAGGCTACACTTCAATAATTCTTAATTTTATTTTTTGGCTTTTTTTGAGACAGCATCTCACTTTGTGGCCCAGACAACTCACAGCCATCCTTCTCCCTCAGAGTACTGGGCTTACAGGCGTGCACCACCAAGCCCACACTTCAGTAATTGTTTAAGTTTAGGTTATAAAGATCATTCAATGCTTTGGGATGAAAAAAAAGGTAAATTTCTGATATTCAATTTCCCTTAGCAAAATTTCTTATTAATTTTAATAATCTTGTAAAGGTCTTGTGCTTTTTTTAGATAGTCATTAATAATTGATCCCAAGAGTTTTGGCCCTTTTCAAATAAGTTATTAGAATTATTTTTGTCCTCATGTATTTAGTACCTCTTTTAGAAAAAAAGAATTTTTAAATGGTGATAGCATTGTTATTTTAATTTTTAAGTGTTTTGTTCTAAACACATGCACAAGACACCATTTGGAAGTAACTGCACAGAAAGATCTATTAAGATATTTAGTAAACTGTAACATGATTTTTTTCTAAGAGGACATCAAAAGGCCTGCTTTTACAAGGAGAATATTTCATGATTTATTATTTATGGAATTTAAGTAAAATGTTACTTCATCAGGGCAATAACAGTAAGCTATATGAGATTTCTGGGATGCAGATACTGGAAGAAGAGTCAATGAAAACCAACACAAGGTCAGAGAAAAAAGAACAAGAACGAAAAAGCTGAGCTGAGTAGCAGCAAACAAGCCTGCAGTCCCAGCACCTGGAAGAAACTAAGGAAGGAGGGTCCCAAATGTTGAGTTGGGTGCAAGCAGCTTAGCTACATTTCCTCTAATACAGAGTCTCATTATGCAGTTCAGGCTGGTCTTGAACTCACAACAATCCTCCTGTCTCAGCCTTCCAAGTGTTGAAAATAATAATTTAAAAGCTAAAACGAAACCATGTGTGATGACACAGAGTTGTAATCCTAGCACTTGGGAAGTTGCAGAATCCTTTGAGCTTGGGGGCTGGGGATTTAGCTCAGCGGCATAAGCGCCTGCCTTGCAAGCAGGCAGTCGTGAGTTCGATCCCTGGTACCAATAAAAAGGAAAAAGACAAAAAAAAAAAAAAAAAAAAGAATCCTTTGAGCTCAAGGGCAGCCTGGGTTACATAGTGAGTTCAAGGTGAGCCTGGAATCCAGTTATAGTGAGGCTCAAAACTCCAAAGATAAATAGGCTAAGAAGCAGCTCAGTATAAAGCACTCCTGGGTTCTGCCATTTACAGTACCACAACCTAGGCAGTTTGTGAGACCCCGACTCAAATGTAAATAAAAAAGCAAAGTAATGAAAAACAGACTCACTTTTATCTCCACGTTCTAAAGCAGAGGAAATTCATGATTCATGTCCCGAAATTTCTCTCATGTTTCCTGTTTCTAACCTTGGCAATAAACTTTCTGACAAAATAATGTGGATAGAATTATTTTATCTCCTTAGTGGAGTAACAGTAAACCCATGTTTGGCCAGGAGGGACTTGGGACAAGTCTGTTAATATAGCTTAATTAATATCTTTTCTTGGGAGGACATGTTGATATATGCCTGTTTTCCCAGCTACACACTTGGTAGGCTGAATCAGGAGTGCTGAAAGTCGAAGCTGGTCTGGACAGTTTAGCAAGACACCATCTCAAACAAAAAAATCTTCCCTTTTCTTTTCAAAACTATCTTGTTTCCCTGACTTATAGAAGCACTCTACTAACAGCTAATTTAAATACTCTTTAGTTTTCACCTTCTAAATCCTAACCAAAAAAATTTTTGTTTTGTTTTTTGAGACAGGGTCTCACCATGAAGTCCAGGATGGCCTTGAACTCGAAGGGATCCTCTTGCCTCTGTCTCCTGAGTGATGGGATTTCAAGCCTGTGTCACCACATCCCTACCTGTCTGTCAAAACTGGTTGTATAACCAACAAAGCGTTCACATTTTGGTAGTTCACTTAACACTAAAACACAGTAATTATATGTAAATCTGGAAACAAAAATATGGGGCCAAGGATTTAGCTCAGTGGCTCAAGCACTTGCCTGGTAAGTGTAAGGTTGTGAGTTCAATCCCCCATTCCAAAAAAAAAGAAAAAAAAAAAAAACCACCAGAAAGGTAAGTCAATAGATAATAAAATGCCCTATAGGCCTTGCTTTGCTAAACTATATACATGGAAACTTCGCTTAAGGATATTCTCTTCAATTAGCAGTAAACCAATAGACCTTCCTAGTTAGGAAGTAATTAAGCCAGTATTAAATGTAGAGCAAATTTGAAGGGTTTTTTTTTCTGCAAGTGTCAAAATTTAAGTAGAATTAAAGAGCCAGAAGTGATGCTGCATGCCTGTAATCACAGTCAGGTCGGATAAGACAAATTGCAAATTTGAGCCCAGGCCAGGAAATTTAGCAATTTAAGATCCTCTCAAAATTTAAAAAGGGGGGCCAGGGATTTAGCTCCGTGGCGTAAGCGCCTGCCTGGCAAGCCTGAGGCCGTGAGTTCAATCCCCGGTACCACAAAAAAAATTAAAAGGGGCCAGGGATGTAGCTCATCAGTATAAAAGCCTGCCTGGCAAGCTCGAGGTCCCAAGTTCGATCCTGGGTACCAAAATTTAAAAAAGGTTAGAGATGTCGCTCAGTGTAAAGGCTCTGAGTTCAACCAACAGAGCGGGAGGCGGCCAGAGGAGAAAAAGGAAGTAAAACAGAAAGAAAAAGAATGAGACCCTGCCTCAAAAAAGCAAGGTGAGTGTATTGACCCATGCTCGAGGAAACAGCTCATCTCAATGCAGAGCACTCATCTAGCATGCCTAGGGCTCTGATTTGATCCCCAACACCAAATAAGTAAATAGGCTTTTAAAAAGTAGTAACCAAGAGCATCATGCTAAAATTGAGTAAAATAAGCCAGACTCCAAAAGTCAAGCATCACATCTTTCCTCACATGAAAAAATCAGAGCGTCAAAAAACAGACAGCACAGAAGTAGAAGGGAGACTACCAGAGCAGAGGAAGGATGGAAAGAAACAGGGAGAAGGGGAAAAAAAAAAAAATTACCGAAGTATGTTATATGCTGCAAAACATATGCCAAAATGAAACTAGTATGCTATAATAAAAATGTTTCTTAAAAAATGTTTTATCTTCATACACTTCCTGTAATAGCACATTCTTTTGATTTTATCATGATTCATAAAGTGCCAGTAGAAAACATAATTTGCGCACACCAATAATCCCAGTATTTGGCAGGCTGATACAAGGAGGATCCATGTGAGTTCTAGGCCAGTCTGGGCTACAAATGAGTTTAAGGTTAGTCTGAACTACATAGTGTATATAGTGAAACTGTGCCTCAAAAACACAGTGAGTGTAGTGACCCAGTCCTGTAATCCCAGCATTTGAAAGGCTGAGACAGGAGGACTGGCACTGAGGTTCAGGACAGTCTGGGCTACATAACGGAGTTCAAGGCCAGTTTGGACTACATAGTGAGACCCTGTCTCGAAAAAAAAAAAAAGAGAAAGAAAGAAAGAAAAACTACCAAGCATCCAAAAAAAAACAAGAAAATTTGATCAAAGTATTTCTATGCAAAAGCTATATAACCCAGTTGATTTTTTTCTGTTGGAGTTCATCAGAAGAAAACGTGGGGCTATATCATGTATAGGACATGATATCTTTTATCTCATTCATCTTCATAAATATGCTAATTTTTCCTATTCTATTGCTGACCTAGCTATAATTCCGAAATTTAAAAGTTCAATTAATTTCCAAATTAAATTAGAAAGCAAATATAGAAGACACTGCTTTTTCTCTTGATTTTATTTTGCATTTTCATTTTTAATTTTTTTAACTGCAGTTGCTATAACCAAAATAAAGCACCAAGAGCCCTGCATACATAGCTGCCTTGATTAACATACAACGCAAAAATGTATACTCTCACCTCTAATGCAAGGGTTACCTGAATAGAACACTACCGTTTATCCTGTGCAATCCACTCTCCTATCTCAATCTTCCCAACACAATCAAAGCATTTTAATACCAACCACATTTAGCAAAGAAAAGGTTAAGTAAAATGAATTAAGCTGTGTCAGGCACATGCACCAGCTCCCCATAAAGTTCTCCTTGGGTTGGCCAACTGGTCTCAAATCTGCCATCCTCCTGCTTCAGCCTCTCCAGTGGCTGGGATTGCAGGCATATGCCACCACCGTCCCTCCACCCTAGGATCTTTATTTATTTATTGGGCCAGGGTTTCACGGGATCCTCAGGCATGCGACACCACGCCCCGCTAGGATATCTGTTTAAATGTTACTATTTAGCACTATTTTGAAAACAAGACTTTCAGCTCATCAATCGATTCACAAAAGATCTCAATCTCGCTTCCCCTGATAATAAATCCCCTTGTTTCGACTTGCTTCAACCCCTTTTTTAAAGGTCCACAGAAAACTGCCCATACGATGCATAGTCAATATCTACAGTCATTTTCTCAGGTCCCTAGCACGTGGGGGCCAAACACGCGTGGTGGTGTCAGTCTCCCCGCGAGGCCAAGTTCCCCCTAGATTCCCCTACCAGCCAAGGAGAACCTGAGGTCCCACCTCTTCCTGTCGCTCCCTTCCAAGATGTCCATTTATGTAAATAAGCACAGTGAATGACACCTTGGCACGAAACACCTCGACTGACAGGGACGGGGCCTACCCTCTCCCGAGCCCACGCCAAGCCCACCGCGGGGCAGCCACAGACCTGCTCCCGGGGCGTCCGGCGGGGGCGGCGACGGCTCCGGCGCGGCGGGGGCCAGGTGTTGTGGCGGCTTTTTGGTCCACGGGTTCTCTTTAGGCGGCGGCGGCTGCAGCTTCTCCACCGGGACCGCAGCGGGCAGCTCCTCTCGGGCGTCCTCGGCCGGCGGACCCCGTGGCGGGAGCGTGGGCGGCGGGGTGGGGGGCTCCCCGGCCGAGGGGCCCCCGGAGCCGCGCGCCTTGTGTGCCAGGTGCAGCGCCAGGGGCCGCACGGGCACGGCCGCCTGAGGCACGCTGCGCCCCAGTACCGAGGCCGGAGACGGTTCGCCCCGCGCCCCCGCGCTGAGGGCGGCCGCAACGCGCTCCGCCCTCGCCACCTCCCCGCCGTCTGGCTCCGGAGGGGGCGGCTGCTCGGCCTGCCGGCTCACCGAGCTCAACAGCGGCTCCCGGTTGGCGGCCACCGCGGGCGGGTCTTCCCGACGCGGAGCGGCGGGCCCCGGGGCGCGAGCGGACATGGTCGCCTCGCCCCAGCCGGGGGGCGCCCGGGACCAGGGAGCCCGGCCGCCCGTCTCTCTGCCGGGGCACCCGCTGGCTCCGGCCCGGGACAGAGGACCCGAGGGCCCGGCCGTCGCCGCCCGCCGAGGCCGAGCGGCGCCCGGCGTGCCAACCCTCCCCGCGTCGAGCGGGAAGCTAACCGCCCGCCGGCCGGCCCGGCGCTCTTCGGCGGCGCACGCCCGGAGCCCACAACACGCGCCCGACCCTCGGCCACGAGCGACCCTCAGCGTGCCGGGCCGCGCTAGCTCCAGTCCAGTTCCGCAGGCGCGAGTCGCGGAGCCGGTAACTGCTCACGGGGCGGGGCGTGGAGGGGCGGGGCTTCAGGGGCGGTCCCATCGGAGGGCGGGGCGGGGTCTCCCAGGGAGCGTGACGTGGCCGCTCGCCCGCCCGCCCTCCCCTCGCGGCCGCGCGCGGTGGCTGACTGCCGAGCCTGCCCGGTGCCGCCGGCCTGACCCCCAGCCCCGCCCCAGCGGCTGGCGGAGGAGATGGAGGGCGGACGGCGCCACCCCGGCCTGCGGGCGCAGGGGCGGGGCGCGCCCTCTGTGACTCGCGGGCTCCCGCGGCCGGCGACTGAGGGGCGGGGCGGCGGCGCACGTGGCGCTGGGAGGCCGGGGCGCGGGCACCTGAGGATGGTGCGGGGTGCGTGCAGCTGGCCGGCGCGTCGGGCGGCTGCGCACAGCACCTTCGCCCTGTGAAAGTTTCCCACTGGCGCTTGGGGAGGCTTCCGGGAATTGCAATCTTGAGCCGCTTCCAAAGTGACGGCCGTGTTATCTATGGGAAACCTTTGCCCAGGCGTTTGATTTCGTGCACTTCCCCGCCCGATCGTCAACCACAAACTGAAATCTATTTAAAGTGCCCTTGAGTAAAGCAGTTACTATTTTATGGATTTTGAAAATATTACTTGGACCTTTAAATTGCAGAAGTAGCCCTGGTTCACAAATTAAATGTATTCCCCAATATTTTTTCCTGGAAGAGATATTAAAATGGTACACATATGTTTGTGATAAATCCAATAATGTTCTACTTGGCCCTACGTTTAATCAGAGGTGACAACTGGTTTCACGTGCGTGTACTTAGGCATTTAATAATGATTATTTTCTGATGCAAGGTTGCCGAGAGGTGAAACTTCTGTCTCACCTTACCCCCTGTTAAATAATTGTTTGCCAGTTCATACATTGCAACAGCTTTAAACTATAAAGTATTTCGTGTTTTCTGTATCAGAAATCTCCAGTTTATCTAACTAAAACCAGTAGCAGTTAAGGATTATAATGACATCTATATTCCCCAAGAGACATTGTTCTGTTATTGAAGTTTTAAATGTTTAACCTTAAACTCAGTTTGGTTTTCAGCTTTTTGAAGTCCCGTCAGGTAACACTATCTATTCAAATACTGGTAGATTAAAGACAACTTATTGAGAAAAAGATAATGTGGAATGGTTTTCTGCAGTTTATTTGAGTATCCATGGTTTTGTGTGTGATCTTTTTGTTGTTATTTTTGTTTTTTGAGACAGGGTCTTGCTTTGTAGTGCTGACATAGTGGCCTAACACCACTATGTAGCCCAGGCTGGTCTCAAGCTCACTGCTGTCCTTCTTAATGCTGAGGTCACAGGTACCACCATGGCTAGCTGTGTATCTTTTGTTGTTGTTGTTGTTTTCCTTTTTTTTTTTTTTTTTGGAGACAAGGTTTCATTATGCAGGTTCAGGCTACCCTTGAACTGACTTTGTAGCCCATGTTGGCCTCGAACTCACAGTGATCCTCCTGCCCTAGCCTCCTGAGTGTTGGGCATGAGACATCACATCTGTCAGTGTGCAGTTTTTCTAAAAGAAACGTCCTAGCGAGGCATGGTAGCTCCCTCCTGTAATCCCAGCACGCAGAATGTGAGGCAGGAAGATCGATGTAAGTTCGAGACCAGTGACCTACAAAGTGAGCCCGAGGCCGGCCATAACTATGAAATAAGATCCTCTCTCTCTGTGTGTGAGAGAGAGCCAGAGAGAGAAAGAAATGTCCTGTAGGGACTTCTCAAGTGAAAGTGAAGGATTGCTGGAAGGATGCAGGAAGCCAGCGAAAGGAACTATAATTATGTGGACTCATCTTTAGCAAACTCACCAACAGGTGTGTGGTGCATGCTTGTAATACCAGCACTCTGGGAGGCTGAGTTAGGAGGATTCTAGCCCAGCCTGGCCAATTTAGCTACTTAGCTAGACTTTGTTCTCAAAATAAAAAATGAGGATGGGGATGTAGCTCAGTGTGAAGGCCCTGAATTCAGTCCCTAGTGTTGGAAAAATAAAATCAAGTCTGGAGAACTCAGTAGCAGATATTGGGGTCTTCAGTGTTGTCCAGTCGCAGTAATGCTGGTGAAGGGAGTTGGTTATTTGTGGTCTCTCACTGGGATGTGTACTAGGAAGTCCTGCTTCCACATAACTGTCTCTTTCAATCTTCACCTGTCGTCTTTCACCCCTCCACCTCTTCCTCTTGTCTGCTCTCCAGACTTCTCCTGCTCTGGATCAGACAAGGGCCAACTTGTCTAGCTTGTGACAGTGGACTCCCTGGCTCCCCCAAGCTCCGTGGGGTCTGGAAGGCTGAGGAAATGGGAGGCCGGCAGGTGGCGAAGCCTTAGTCTGGGTTCCCGAGCTCCATTACCAATGTTGGCTGCAGAGCCTTCAGGACAGTTGTTCCGTTGTTTTCTTTGCCCTATTAGGCCTTTGGGTTACTGCATTAGTCCTTCTTGGTTTCCTGACTTTTGTCTACATCTCAGAAAATGGTAGTCCTTTTAATAAATTATGAATTTTGAGTATTCCACTGGATTTTGCCAGTACCCTTTGCCATTGCACACATCTGTTTTCTCTCTTTGTCTCTCTCTGGTGTCTCTTTCTCTCTCTTTTTGAGACAGGGTCACACTGTGTAGCCCAGGCTGACCTTGAACTCCTGGCGACCCTCCTGCTTGAGCCTCCTGAGCACTGGGATTACAGGTATGGCACATATTTTCTTATTTATTCTGCCTTTGCAGCAACTTGCTAGATTCTGCCTCTGTCTCCTAGTTCAAAATCAAGGGAGCGTGGGAGTTCAAAGCCAATCTGAGAGGTACGTTCCCAGTGGTGGAAAACAAATCAAGGAAGACAGACTGATTTGCTCTGCAGCTGTATTTATTTTTGCTGCTCAGCTCATGTAAATCATCAGCCACCCTATGGATTATTTTCCTCTGGGTAGAAATTATTTACCCTAACCTGAAGTAACAAGTTACTTGGTTCAGAATGCTGACATAAGGCCTGGGTTGGGGGAGCCAGTGTCCTCATGAAGTAGCATCTTTATTTAAAAAAAAAAAAAGTAGAGGGCCAGGGATTTAGCTCAGCAGTATAAGCGCCAGCCTGGCAAGCGCGAGGTTGTGACTTTGATCCCCGGTACTGCAAAAAAAAAAAAAAAGTAGAAATGATACAGAATTTCAAAAAAAAAAATAACATTAAGGAATCATCTCTAGTTGATACATTACATATTGTTATCTTAGAAGTAGTTGTTCAGAAGTAGTTGTTCAGTAGTTGTTCAGTAGTTGTTCAAAGAATAAAAAATGAACAATCAAACAGTAACAGCACAAACTATTCTGTCTGATGAACCCTCAGAAAGTTATCTGTGGTTATCTATGTTGCACACTTAAGTGTACCTACAGTTATATGTGTATACCTGCCAAGTTGTTCTTTCCTTTCCAGCACGTGAGATAGCATCTTTAACTAGACCTCCTTCCCTTCTCGCTTCTCTCCCACCACTCTACTAGGGATTGAACCCAAGACTTTAACACAGAACCCCACCTCCTCCCTACTTTGATTTTTTTGTTTTGAGACAAGGTCTCACCAAGTCACTAAATTGTCCAGGTTTGGGATTCTCCTGCCTCTGGATTCAGAAAGGCTGGGATTACAGAGTTGTGCTCCTTGCCGGCCTACCGAGCTTTTGTTTTTTTAATTTTAATGACTACATTTAGCCCTGTCCTTTCACACTCCCTCTTACCTCACTCGCTGTAGCTCCGTTCATTCTGAAACAGATATAGGCACAAGCCACAACCAGGTGACCATACTTCCTCAGTGTCCCTCAAATCCTCTTTTCTCCCCTGCCTCTACCCTGCCTCCTGTCTCACTCAGTCCTCCAGTGCTGGGATCGCAGCTGTCCCCCCCAGGCCTGGCCATTCATCTGTCTATAATAGCGTCACAGCCTCTTAACTGGCCTGTCTGCCAACTGACAAGATTTTTCTGAAGATTACATGAACTAATGTGTGTAAAATGCTTAGTAAAGTCCCTGCCTCTGTAATACTACCTATTTTATTCATAACTTTATTATTTTAAGTTAGAAGATTTACTCATAATAACTGACCTTAATTTTGTGAGATTAAAGATTTAATTCTTTAAAAATTTTTCTAATTGGAAATTGGAATCTAAAGCATAGTTATAGGAATATCTTTTGAAAAAGTGATCTACTCATGAAGTAGTTCCTACAGGGTCTGGGTGATCATATTGTTCAGCTAAACCTTTCCACAGGAGTCCTGTTTGTCCAGTTTTAAGTATGCTAATGTGTCCTCAGATGATTGAATCCACTCTTCCTGCCCTCTCCTGGTATCTCAGGAAATTGAAATCCCATGAGAACATGAAGGCCCTCTAAACTACCAGTGGGGTTTAGGGCGAGGCTAGCAGAAACCCAATGTGCACAGAGCTCTGTTGAATGCTACAGAAGTTTCAAAGAATGCATTAGATATAATCTGTTTCAAAGATCAGCAACTCACTGTGAAGGCCGAAGGCCATGGGCACCACTCCAGTACTGCAAAATAATCACTTTCAAGAAGAGTCACTGACCCCTCATAACAGCAGGTTTCAGAGCCTTGGGACTTGTTTATCATGATAATAGCTCCCAGTGCTGAGTACTTCCTTTTATCTCTAATCTACAAGGCAGAGTCAAGATTAGTGGTAATGTATGTCTGCTGGGATTTGAACCCTACCGCTATAATTTCTGTACAATCTTCATCTGACATTGCCTAAAGTGAGAAGGGAATGTGGTGTGTCGGGAATGGTAGGACTGTCCGCGCTCAAGTGCTAACTAACAGCGTGTGGCAGAGCACTGACATCACATACACTTTGGAAATGAAATCAGAATGTGCTGATCTAATGAAAGAAATCAAAGTCTAAGTTTCTGCCTAAAATAACCAAGATTGGATGCAAATGTAGGATCCTAGCCCTATCCTTCATATTATATTTAATATGAA